CCCCATGTTGTTCACTGTACAGTGGACTACTTGATTCTCAACAGTACAGACAAAGCGGCTGCCTGAGTTAGTCTGTCCCCGCGCTTTTATGACCAAGATTTTTTTTCTGAAATTATGGAAACTGAGCCAAAAAAATGTTAAATTATTCGATTTTGTTAATTTTACCAAAGAATGATGAAGGAAAATAATCAGAAATTATGCAAAAAAATGATCACATTTTGCTAAAAAAAAAAGTTATGCGGGGTGCATAAAACCCCAAGGACAGGTTGATACGGAACGCTGAACATCAACTTACACAACTACGTCCAAAATTCGGCAAAAGTAAACATCAGCCCTCTTTTCGGAATTTATGCATGACCCTACTATTTAACTGTTTTACTATGCACATCCGAGGTCTCCGTTATCATTGAGTCCACTTTTGGGTCGAGTTGGCCCTGATAGTTGTCGTCAGGGCTAAGCAGCCCTCCTCCTAAATGATCTAGCTTACAATTATATTATTATATCTGCAGTTGGCTTCTGAATCTTCCCTAGTCATCTGTTCATTTCTCCTGTTACATGTTAAAGTTAAAGAGGAGAAGCGATATTTAGGTGACACTAGTAGAGAACCCTTTGAACAACAGACAGTAAAGGAAGTACGAACAAAGAAACAGTAATTAAGAAGTATCACCCCCACCCACCCCAATAGCAGAGGTAATGGGAGCAAATAAAAACAATTCAAATACTAGCAGTTCGAGCAAACAAGTCAAAATGTATAATAACACTAGTGAAAGTTATGCGAGTCGACCAACTCTGCTGAACAGACGACCGGTGGAAATTGAAGCAGGGGAAAGAACTCAACTGTTTACGAATCACGAGAGTTTACTAAGTTGTATACCTTGAAACAAAACCCCCCCCCCCCCACCCCTGTTTATCAATATTCCAATTCCAGCCATTCTCTCGAAGTTTGACTCCTCACTTTAGATCCATTTTCTCTTGTTAATTTTCCCTCTCTAGACTTTCATTGTAGCACTGTAAGTGTTACGAGGTCTGTCGCAAAGTCTGTCCCAGTTCTGTCAAACCAACAATTTTTATTTTAAAGACAGTTTCTTCCTCTTCTTCAAATGGCCACCCCCAAAAGCCACTTGATTTTGAGGAAGAAACGGAAGTCCTCATGGTCCTAAATCTGGGGAATAGCGGGGATGTTCAAGTTCAAGGATCTCCCACTTACTTCCAGTCTCCCGGAGATCAGCGACTTTACGAGTACGAGTAGTGTGCGCAGGCGCTTTGGCAGGATGGAAAACAACACCTTGCTCAAGTTGACCTGGCCGCTTTCTTCTGATTGCTGGTCTCAGCTTTGTTTGAAGAACCATCGTGTCGTAGTCAACTGGAACTAGCCAGTTACGGGAGGGGTGTGTGTATGTGTGGGAGGGAGGGGGGGGGGGGGGGCGCGTTATTTTATGTGTTTAGAAAAAAACATCTTTATTTGAATCTTCATTGTTTTATTTAGATTCACATTCACTCACTCATACCTTCAAAGCGGCAGGAACTCGCGTTGATCCGCATAATATTGTATCTTACGGTAGATCAGCCCAGGCGTCCAGTCACTGTTCCTTCTGTTCATTCCACTTTTCTCTATTCCCGTTCTACACGTCGCTGACCCACCCGAAGACAAAAGTAACGACGTTGTTCAAGACACGCTCATGCGAGGTCACTGAATAGATAATACCAGTGTCCATGGTGTAGCGGCTAGGCGCTTCGCTGATGCACACACGAAACCGGAGTTCGATTCCTGAGCGGGGAGAAAGTTTTTTTTTTATTGAGCGTCTCGGTCTTCTGCTGGGATATTGTATCCCTCTCAGCCCGGGTGGGCCCTGGCACGCAGGGTCGGAAGCCAGCCTCCTAAAATGATCTAAATTGTGTTGATGGGGCCGTGAAAAACATACATTAAAATGTTGAAAAAGTTTGAATAAGCTTTACGGCACTTGGAACACAATTAGTTCATATAAGTACCGAAGATTTGATGGGGTTTTTTTTGGTGGTAACTTGTGTTTTTCGGCGCTCGCAACTGCATAAGGCCATATGAGCAGGTAAGACACATTAAACATTTTCATTTGGTAAGAGATTTTGAATTTTGCCCGGGTGCTGGCCGAAGCCTACTCTTATTTATCGATTTTGGATCAACAAGGGATCTTTAACGTGCACAACTTTCACACGGAACCTCCGAGATTTTTAGCCCTTGTCTGAGATAGTTTGGTGTAGATCTTTCCTACCGTAAGATCAGTGGTGTGACTGAAAGAAAGGCAGTAGTAAGAAGGAACCAAGGAGTAGCAGTAGTAATAGAAAGGCTGCAGAAAGAGTCAGGAGCCCAGAGGAGGGGGCAAATGAGGTGAGGGGGTGGGGGCAAAAAGTGGAGACGAAAGCAGACGACAGAACATTGTTAAAGAGCAGGAAGAGATGTGAAAGGAGAAAATTTTAGGGAAGAGAATTTTTCGTTGCTCTCCGGATTCGAAACCCAGACCTATTGAATGAGTATGAGAGGCGAACACCTTATCCTCTAGACCAAAAGAGCCCCCCCCCCCCCCCCGGCCGAAGATGTGAGTTGTTACAAGAGAGCAACAAACACAAAAAAGGAGGGAAGATAAGGACGAGAAATGTTTGATAGGAAAGAAGGAGCAAACCATATCAGAGCACCCGCCAAATACCCACCATTTAAGATAGTAAAATTGTGTAAAATTAACATCCACAAGCGGACCCAGCGTTCCTGTTTTGGGCATGCAGAGTTGCACGTCATGAAGTGTGTAGGCGGACCACCCACACGCGCCTACATACATGACGTATTGTGCGAGTAGGTCACGTTGGATGCAGTTGCCTTGTTTTTTGTTTTTATTTTGGTAAGTGTTTTACGGTTCTCGCAACTGCATAAGGTCATATGAGCGAGCGGGACACATCAGCATTAAACATTTTCAGTTGGTGGGCAATTTTGAATTTTGCCCGGGTGGCGGCCAAAGCCTACTCTCAATTTTCGCCTTTGTCCGAGAAGGCGAGGTGTAGATCTTTCTTACTGGAAGTTCAGTGTTGTGGCTGAAAGACAGCAGTAAGAAGGAGCCAAAGAGTAGCAGTAGAAAGGATGCTGAAAGAGTCAGGAGCCAAGAGGAGGGGCAAAGTAGGTGAGGGGGTGGGGGCAGAAAGTGAAGACGAAAGCAAACGACAGAACATTGATATTTTGACAAGTGCCTTGTTTCTTGTCGATACCACACGTTATTTTGATGTCTCAGTTTTGCTTTGCAACGCTAGGGCTCATTGTGATGGTGGACTCGACTGCTTCTGTGGGGTTGATTGTAAGATGGTAAACTTTCACAACGCTCAGTACACCGTGAGCATCTCCAGCAGGTCCCTTTTTAGTGGCGTCGGTGGTCTAGTGGTTAGGCTCTCGAACTCGCAACCGTAAGTTCGTGGGTTCGAGTCCCGTCAATGACCCGACGTTGTTTCCATAGGAAAAGCATTTTCGCGAATTTATCTCACTTAACTCACGTGAAAATCAGGAAAAGATCTTGTCTGCATGTTAGTGTTTAGAGCGGTTAATCAGCTGTTTGCACAGTATACTTTTTGGGACCCCAAGAATGTTCCTGAGTGTTCCTAGGTCTGCTGAGG